ACATATTACAATTAACATTTAATGTGGAAGATTATTTATATAGTTACTTTGTACAATACTGGATGTGTTATTAACATGACCCAGTGGTAGCTGAGTAGGAGTTTTCAAGCAGAAGTAGCAGAAAATACTCTTTATAGCACTGTCTGGTGTTTAAGTATCGTTTTACAGTTTCCTGTCTTGTGAAATGAGGTGATAGAAAGGAATGTAATCATATGAAATTATTTCCCTAATGCAGATGTTAAGGTTGAAATGTATTTTTCTTTTTGGCATAGTATTATCTTTTAATGTGTAAGTTAACAATTTTACGTATTAAATTCATGATATTAACATAACTCTTTCATTTAACAATCATGCAAATATTCTTTGATCTCACAATCATAGTGCTTGCTTATAATGAACTTCTGCTTATGAAATTTTGAATGGTCTTTAGCCATTAATTTTTAATCTAGAATCCAAAACAAAATAATATTTTCACAAATAAGAGGCATATTCCTTTGGAAGCAGTACTTGGTGTCATGCAATGTATTGTAAAATGTTCTAATCTGCCCAGTGGCAAGAAGTTACAACTGCAGTTGAAGGACTGCTTCTGTGCAAGGCCTTTTTAAGTTTCTGGGCATTTTTTTCCCACCTTAGTAGAGGAAAAAAATCCTCTTTTCTGCCTCAAATGAAAGAACAAATTATAACCTGAGTCCTTTAATCACTACTCAATGCTGAGGGGCAGTCAAGGATTATGGGGGCTTGGCCAACCATCTGTCTGATTTTGAGCCTGGTGAAGGTCATTGGGAGTGCAATGTGTATTGGTTTTCCATGAAGCTGTGTTGGTCTGAAGTCTGTCTCAGTCTATTAGACTGTCCTGTAACTTATATATTACACATGAAAGACATAACAGTGAATAATGACTGAAGAGCAGAAGATGGATGTAAAACAATGGAATGTCTTTGGTCACCCTCTGGGGAATGCTGTTCAGTAATTAGGAACCATCGTGAACCTTCATTTGTATGCTGTTCAATGCCTTAGGAGAACTTGTTTCAAAAGGGATAAAATGATACAAATAAAAATTCATTTGTCTTTTAATCTGGCAGTTATTTAGGAAAAAAAAACCCAACAAACCAAACAAAACTGAATGTGTAACAGGAAGAAACCAGTCATACCAGTTTCCTAGTGTGTGCTTCAGGTTTATAAAAGATTGCTTTCTCTCCACAAGGAAGCAGTGAGAGATGCTGGCTTTTGTCTAGTTTAATGTTGGGTCCACACAAAGCTACCATATTTTGTTTTTTCTCTTTAAAAAGGGTTCACATTTTTCCAAAACAATGGAAGCTTACCCAGCAGTATGTCAGCTTTGCTGTAGCTGTAGCTTTAGGAAACTGTGAAATGTTGAAGACAATCTAAATACTGAAAGGAAAATTTTACCATTTCTGCAAGAAAGGACAGCCATATAGTCAGTTTTGAGAGTGATCTGTTCATATAGTTCCAGGTTTTTTGGTTTTTTTATTCTTTTCTGTCTGTTTCCAGTGCCACAAGAAGGGGTACACACTTCCTAAAACAGCTCATGTTTCTGAAAGCCTTTTGTAGACATAATGTTTAATGAAAGAGCCCTGTAGCAGCCAATTAGTAGGCAATGAAAAGTATGTCCAGTTCTAGTGACTTGAATGGTTTTGTTCTATTTTATTGGATTACAAATCATGAGCTGTAGCAAGTATCAAGTGAAAAATCAGCTTTCTCTAAAGTTTCTCTAATACAATTTCTGACAGTTGGACAAAAACACATATTACTGGGGTCTTCTTTAGTAGCTAAATATGGCTTGCAGAAAGCTTTTCACTGAAACAGGTGAAAATACTGTTGATACTTTTGTGAAGCTGATATTTTTGAGTTCTTGATTTCTTTGAATAATTCAATTGAAGATTCAAATTAAATTTAGTAATTTCATCACTAAGTTTCAACTCAAGAAAATAGAGTACATGGAATGAAGGACAGGGCATGTGTACTTTTAATTAACTAAAAAGTCTGTAGATTTCATATTTTTTCTACCATGTAGCAAATACACAAGGGCTAATTCATATATTGAATAAAGATTAGACTTAACAAATTTTTGGCGTGTGGAAAGTGAAAGCAAAATGCCTAATACCCTTTTAATTCTTTAATACAATATGATCAAACTCAAGTAATCCTTGCATCCTTAATTCTCTTTTTTTTTTTTTAGTCTCAACTTTCTATTTTCCAAACACCCAGGAAGGAAACTTGTCAGCTTAGTAGATGTTCAAGTAGAGAAGGAATGCAATTTTATAGCTAAAAACTGAGCAATTTGAAGCTGAACACTTAACAGATGTAATCATGAGAGGAAAATCACTCCTTCGTACTAACTAAAACAAAATTTGTTTCTTATAGTGCATTTCTTGTTTATAATTTCTTCACAATGATCGTTTTATGTCTTAAGAGAATTCACTAAAATGAACAGTTTTGTTACAATGATGACACATAAGCTGAGAACTTTTGACTATTGCCTAGAGTGCAGTATAAATATATTCAACAGTCCATAATGCTTTAAATTGCTGCTTTCCTATAAAGTAAGACTATGTACTACATATCCTATGCTATCTCCCTGTATGTTTATTTTCATAATTCATTTAAGGTTTATTAATGGCTGGCTTTATGAAACAGTAAAACACCCACTTTTTTCTGTTCCTTCCTGTGTTGCAAAAAGTTATTTGAGGATTTTCTTTCATTTCCACGCCCACCAACATTGTAGTGAAGTCACAGTGGATGGACACAAAGCAAAAACTGACCTGTCCAGAATGAGAGATGAAAGGAAGTAATCTACACTCAGATATGGAAGCCACTTAGCAGCAGCAGCATGAACATTTTTTTTCAGAGTGCTTCAGGGCAAAAAAAAATTCTTATGAAAAATCAAGTATGCTAAAAAGACAAAGGATGAGAAACAAGCGTAAGGAGTGATAAAAATATGACAGAGGCTACAAAACACTTCTGGTACATTTTTATCCTGGAAGATCTCTAAGGACAGTTGAATAGCAGACCTGTCTTACCTTTAAATATAGTCAGTATTGATGACCCTTAGGCCATGTCTTGAAAATTGCAATTCTTTATAAAAATACTACTGCTAGAATTAAATATACTGCTAGTTCTTCTGTGCTCCATACTGCAGTATAAGATAAGGAGACAAGAAAGTAAGTTTTAATGAATGTTTGATGCTGTTGTCCTCTAACCTCAATCATATTCTCCATTTGTTTTCTTACAGAATGTGTTTGCTTTGCTAACATATGTCTTTTCTGTTCCATAAAAGCAAATCAAACTTTACAGCCCAAAAATACTGTGTGAACAGTAAGGGAAAAAAAAAAGCCACAACAATTTTTGTATTTATAATCTATTCTTTTCTCTGACAGTATTGGTTACTGTAAGAGCTGGATAGCTGGTGAAAAAAAAAAAAACCAACAAAAAACAAGAAAACAAGACTTGGTTTTAACAGTTTGTATTTGTAAATAAGTGACCTAGATTGAAACAGAAATTCTAATGGGAATATGAAAAAGGAAGACAACCAAAACAGTTGAAAATACAGCACAGAGCAGTGTCCCCACAAGATGGTACTTTTAATAAATGTATCAAATGTATATAAAAGAAGAACATTCAGTATAGGGAGTAGCAGACCCCCTACAGAAAAGGAACAGGATGGCACATTCTAAGCACTTCAATTAGTCAGTCACTTTCTAATTAGCTGTTGTAGGGAAGATGACAGAATTATATTAAAAACACAACAAGACAGTTTCTGTACAGTTTTTAATGAGTTTGACTAATCAGGGTGACGTCTTCTTAGGAGGGTCATGGATTAGTGCAGAAATCTAAATGTGAGAAGAGGGAGCAGGATGATGCTCAGAGGGCACGCAGGGAAAACATTGCATGAACTGAGCTGCACTACATTCAGTTAATCATTTATATAGCTCGGAGTATGTCTGGAATATGCCATGGAGCCTCAACATGAGCATTGATTTTGACTCTTACTCATTTTCTTTTTCACCAAGATTGCAATAGCTTCCTTTTCCTATTAAAAGAAAAAAAAACAAAACAAAAAACCAGCTCTATGTAGAAGATGCTTTGAAGCCTATATAAAATGAATACACAAATATGTTCCCTTACTCCCAGGGAAGAGAGGAAGAAAAGGAAGTTTAAGCAAATTTTAATTAAATGCCAGTACTCCTAGTTTGCATTGTTAATCTTTGCTTTATTCGGATTGTTCCCAGTGAAGTAATTCCAATGTCTAACACCTGCTTACCCATAAGAATCTGGGAATTGTTGGGTGCCCCTTTTCAGTAATAGAGGAATCAGGAGATGACTGGAATAGTAAAGTGGTGGTTTTAGTAATTTTTTATGAGCAGACAGATCCTAGTACATTTGATAGCACAGTAGCTTTTCCAGAACTGCTTGCTTTTCCACTGCCTTGGATTACTGCTTGGCAATGAGTTTGCAGTTTTTTCCCCCTGTTTTTTAAGGTGTTTTGGTTGGTTAAGGGCTTTCTTAAGATTATGCTTCTAACACCAGTAACAGAGTGAAATCACAGAATTCGTGGAAAAAAATTATCTCTTTTTTTGCATGCTGAAGACTCATACAGTTAGCTCTGAAGTTTCTCATAGCTATGTTTCAGCCATTTTTGGATGTTGTAGTAGAGGGAAGTTTCATCATGAAAACAGGAAGAAAATATTTCAAAATTTCTGAACTTTTGCTGGACAAGGTATTTTTTCCCAGTTGTGTTAAAAGAGTGCTTTCATATCACCAGTACTGAAATCCATCTGTTAATTTAGTAAGCTATTCTGGAATCAATGCTATAAAAACTATCTGTACCACTTGTTCATAGTTCATGTTACGTGAATTAAATTTCCTTCTGTTGAGCATATTTAGTTTTTTTTTACAGTTCTTCTCTAAAAATAAAGACCATTGGCATCTGAAGTGTTTTCTGACTGTATGTCTGTCATCTTTGTGTTTTTTATTCACAGTTCCCACTGAAAATGTTGCAACAATTGCAGACTGTGCCAGTGTGATTGAGGGTGTAAGTCGCAGTCGCAATGCCTTATTGAATGGAGACACAAAAAACTATGATTGGGATTCTGGATACACATGCCACCAGCTTGGGAGTGGAGCTATTGTAGTGCAGCTGGCACAGCCCTACATGATTGGATCAATACGGTAAAAGGATTCATTTTTCTCTAAACTGGGGGCCACAGGGGAATTTTTGCTGAGCAGTTATTTTCTTTAGAATGTATGACATCTCCAAATTACATTAATTAGGGAGCTAGTTCACTAGTTGTCATTTGGCTTCTTTACTTCAGTATTACAGGCATGTTAAAAATTAAATATGTTAATTATATGTCAAGATACAATATATCATATTAAAATATGTTATATTGTTATATATGTTATATGTTATATGTTAAAATATCATATTTAAATATGTTATATATATGTCAAGATACAATTCCAGAAGATACTGCGTTCAGGTATAAAAGAAGCATATCAGCAGTAACAGTCAAATTATAAGATTAAAGTTATATACATATTTTAAAATAGAATTTAATTGCTGTCTCACTTAAGGTTAAGTAGGTGCAGTTACTCTTATCCACTTCATTCTGAAAACAATTTTCTTGAAGAAAATCATCATGTCAAGTCAGCCAGGCTTCCTTTTTGATATACAATTAGTGCTAGTTCTGACTTAAACATGGAGGGTGTAATAAAGGTACAGCAGCCTGAATATTGATTTACAAGGCAGGATTAGTCAATTTGGTTTGGAGTTCATTGGGGTGTTTCTACTGTAAATGTGCATATACATATGAAGATCAAAATTTTGGCTGACGTAGAGACTTAGAAAATGGATAGGAGAGTGGGATTTTCCACGGGTGAAAGGAAAAATATTCTTGCCAATTTCAGATTCTCTGACTATTAATGTTTTGTGTGTTTGTTTCATAGTCATACATACAAAACCTTGCCTTAATGGCATCATGGTCTTTGTAAATTCAGACTATGTAGTCAGGGACTTAATTTGTATGCTCTGTGACAGTGAAATAAAGATTTCTGAAGTTCAGAAGTACCAGTGATCAAAGGCTGAAATCCCAGGTGAGTACAGGCTTGCAGCAAAGACCATGTTCATAGTAAGTATTTCTAGGAGCTCAGTGCCTTCCCCCTGTTAAGAGCTGCCAAGTGAGATTTGAAAGCTCTTTTATAACTGCCAGTTTCTGGTCTGTGTGGTTTGGCTTTGGCCTGTGGCATTGCTATGACGGTTGTAAAACTTTGAAGAAAAGTTTGACATCAGACATCCAGGCAAATCCCTAACCCAACAAAAGTAGTGTTCTGTGTGTATGCAAGCTGTAGATGTTATGCATAATGCAAGTCTGGCATTGTTCTCATTGTGTGAAACAAGTTGAGTAAGTGTGGTTGGCAACTTCCCACAGTTATTTGAGTTTGATGTTGTTAATATTCTGTTAAATACTGCATCTCAAGTAGAAAACCAAGCAGTACTTAGATTGAAAATGCAGTTCCATCATTTTCATAACACTTTAACCTTAAGTAGCAGTTAAGGCTTTGGCCATATAAAAGAGAAGAGTATACTAAATAAAATGCATAGTTTCTCGGTTTCTCTGTCTTCCTATATTACTGTTTTCTGTTATCCTTCAATTGATGCATTGTACCATCTTTTCCAGTTAGTGAAAAAACCTGACTTCCCTGTAATAAATTATATGCTGTTGTTTATTCTTGTGCAAAAGATTTTTAATAAGTCTCTTTATTAAATAGTGTGTTAGGTGAATTAAACTTCTGGTTGCCAAGAAATGATAACTGTGTAATCAGCAAGCATGTAGAGCAAACTAAAAAAAATAACCCAAATGTTACATAATTCAAAACTAATAGGCATTTAGTGATTTATGTGATATTGAATTGTACAGCAGCAGGCTCAGAATCTCATCTTTCTTTGTCAGTTTTCCTGCATGTATAGTACAAACAAGATTAATAGCTTACTTTACAAAAATAACAATAATAAACATCGTAGTCTGGGGTATCTTCTGTCAGAGGATACTACCTGCATTTCCTAGAGACAGAAATGCTAGCAGCATGTTGTTTTTCCATTTTTGTGTACTGCCTAGAAGAACATGTGCTTTGAGTTGCAGCCGTATCTATTGCAGGTCATAGGCAGCAAAGGGAAGCTGCTCCTTGGGGTGGGGAAGTGAAGATTCACTCTGTGTCATCTACAACTTGGCAAGGGTCTGGAACAAGTTCTGTATTTTGCAATGCTGAAGATTGTGACAATGGTCTCTGCAGCACCAGGAAATCTATATTTTGTACAGAAAACAAATAATATGAAAACTTAGATGACAGCAAAAAGTCTTAGTATTTAATCTTAATGGAAGCAAGAAATTTTTTTTTGTTAACAGAATGTCTGCCTCAACTGATGGAACTGTATTCGCTGCCTGTTTTCCTGTTGTTTGCTTGTTTGAAAACTCCCTTGATCTCATGCTGCCACCTAAGAGAAAAAAAATTCTAGGAGCATTTGCTTTAGGCTGGCAGTACACCATGACTACAGAATTACATGAATTCTACTACCCTCAGAAATTGAGTCATTATGCCCATGGGTTTGGATTTTAAGTGAATAATTAGGAATTAAAGTATGTACCTTTTTGTTCAGAAACACAAATGTGCCATTGAATGTATTTATTTCAGAGAGGTTAAATATATAAACCTTTTAAAAAAGGTAGTAGCTTCTTTTAGTCTATAGAAATGGGAATATCATTGGAGAGGGCCTCCAAGACACAGTATGTTACCATGGCAACTAAATTCTGAGTATGAAAAAAACCAGAAGAACTATTGTTACTCAAATATGCCTTAGAAATGCACAGAGTTGAATGTTTCAGGAATATATATTGTATGCTTGCTTTCTGCCAAAGTCATTCCAATGTCTAAGAATCTTAGCACCCTTTAGGTTGGAAGGGACTTGGGGAAGAAGATATCTAGCATCAAGTTATTTTTCAAAGGAGGGCCAGTTATGAAAAAAGACCATCCTCATCAAGGCTTTATGCACACAAGTCTTGAAAATTTCCAAGGCAGGAAATTCCACAGCTTCTCTGGGTAGCCTTTGGTAACCTGCTCTCAGATATTAACAGGTGCTGTTAGGTTTCTCCCCAACCCTAAGCCTCTCCTTAGTCTTAACAAGACAGCTTCCCCAGTCTCTTGCAGAGGGTGTGTGCTTCACTCATGAACATTCTGATGATCCTCTGCTAGAATTGCTCAGATGTATCAATGTTCTATTTGGATCCAAAAAGGGATTCAGTATGCCAGGCATGATCTAACAAGTGTCAAGTACAGAACAATAATCTCTTTCCATTGTTTTGTTGGTTCAGTTTCTGTTACTCCAGCTCCGTATGTTTCTAGCCTTGATTGCTGAGAAGGTGCACAGGCAACTAATGACATCTGTTCAATTTGACTCAGACCACATTAAACCTTAGTTAATATTGAATACTTTTTCATGTATTTGTATATAAATTTGGACCTCTTGGTTTCTGCCCCAAAATTTACTCAGAAATTTTGAAAGACATCTAATGACAATCAGTGCTCAATGTTATTTTCCAATAGAGAAGACATGGAAAACGTGGAGATTTCAACCCATCCCTTTCAATTCAAATTATCCTATGATCCTATGGGGTATTTTTTAAAACAATTGTTACTAAATATGGTCCTTTAGATCATGAAATTTAAAAAAAAATATTTAGGAGTTTTATTTTTTTGTTAGTTCTCAGAACAGCTTACAAGAACAGTTGGAACAGTTAACAGAGTAAATATTAAAGTGTTTTTCCACATAGTTGCCTGTCTGGACACAAAATATTCTCCTTTTAGTCCCTGAAAAGGCCCTTATCAGTGGCAAGAAAAACAGTAGTGTTTAATTAGGAACAGAAAGACGGCCGCTGGTGTGTGTAACATAGTAAACATAATCTAATTTTTTAATGGCTAAAATGTGAATATTGCAGCAGCTGCCATTTCACAAGAACTTTATGTTGAATTCTCCCTGCATTTATCTGTAATAGAAATATAGTACTATTATGCTACAGTCTTTAGCTGATTTTTCCTATAAATTAAGAAAAGAAAAAAAAAAATTTGTTACAGCATATGTGGTAGAGATGGAATTCTATGTCATAGTGGTTTTCATGTTAGAATAAATAGAAATAATTTTTGTCTTTAGGAAAGTGTATTAACTGCTTATCCAGCTTTTATCTTTCTGAAAATTTAATGCTAGTGTGAAAATTACAGCTTTTCATATTCACAATAATCCTTAAATTAACAAACCGTATCATTGAACTTGAATGTGTTTTCTGTTTGCTTATACCATCATCATATGTATCTCTTATGCTTTCTGATTTTCCATATCACTTCCATTTATGAAGCTTTTATTTCTCTGCTGCTCATTCTCTGTGCTTGCCTGACTTGAGAGTAAAATCATGACTCAGAATGAATACTCATAGGAACACTTAGAAAATATGCAGAAATTTTGTCTCCTTTGTAGGATCTTTGTAGGAATAAAGACTGTTTTCTTGCAGGGCAACTACTGAAACATAAATATCTGCACAAAATTGAAGGGGTTTGTAGACAACCAGAGGCAAAAATGCAGCAACAATTGTATAAAAACGTCCTTGCATGTGGAAGGGTTTTCTTTCTTTCTCTTTCTCATTCAAGATGTGTCACTACCTCATGTTTTAATTTCTGTCTTTTGGGCTTCTACAAGTATTCAAGTGGTTTATGAAAACTGCACTGTCAGATATTTACCTTTATGTTCTCTATAGTTACTTACAGTACTCCAAAGCAGGTGCTGTCAGGTGCACAACTAAAATTGGTATTCTGCTAGCACCTTGAGTGTATGTAGTTATACAGCTGTCTGAGCTATACAGTGACAATATTTTATACAGAAATCTAAAAATAAAAAGTAAGCACAGACAACAAAAATTATTTTTAGAAATGCAGAACATTCAATCACAGAGCAACACATGACATTTAGGGACATACTGTTTAAAAAAGTACTGCAGCATTTTTTTTTTTTTTGTAACAGTTAGCCAATATAGTCATTTCCTATGCCTGCAATGTGAAGTTTTATTCATATTTGAAAAGCTTTTATTTTATAAAGTGAGGCACTGTGAACATGTGATGTAAACAACGTCATATTAAATGATTCACAGACTTAGACTCCAGATACCCAGAAAAGAAATATGTTTAAATC